TCTGTGGTAAGGCTCGGAGTAGGGAAACAGTGAATGCCGCAAATGTCGGTAATTAAAAAAAAACGCTAGATATTTAGAGCTGCTTATGAAATCAAGACCACTTCTCTGGTTGATGCGATACACGGAAATGCGTAATGATTGAAAGTCGAGCTATCAATGGAAACTCCGCCAATAGTTGTTTCAATATAACCAAAAGAAAATGAATTTCAGTAGTAATTGCATAGGAAGTAAAGTACTTCAGGAAAGCCACATCGCTTACCTTGGGTGAGGTGTTATTGAGCCTGTCGGGGTTGTGAAGAAGGGAAGAACATGGAGCATCAGAGTGAGTCTGAATATCATTTGTGTGAGCCGAATGATTTGAGCTTATCGCTGAGAGGGTATCCGGAATAACTTCGATACTGGCGGAGCCTTCACTTGACAACTTACTGGGGTATAGATTGTGCACCTTAGCAGACGAGTGGAGGGAGTCCAAGTCAACCATTTCAAAGTTCTTGCAACATAGGCTCTTTGATCTTCTTTTGAAACCATCATCGAGAGATGTAGTAGGCTGATTATCTATAGAAGTGCTGGGTGACTCACCAGCTGATCTCACATATCGGACAGGCTTAGCGAAAGTTGAATCCAGCTGCATTCCCATAGACTCTTGTTGGCTGCTAGCCGTGGAACTCAATAAAATACTACTTTTTTTCGTAAGTTTAGGGGCCAATTGTCTGAAGGATTTGGCCAAACAAGGCCTTTCAAGAGCTGCTTTATGCCGAACTTTTGAATTAACATTTAAAAGTGTCAAACTTTCAGGACCCGAATCCCTTGAATTGAAACCTGATTTTTTCTTTGTGGTTAGCGGTCTGGACAGTGGCTGCACAGAATGACCATTTGTTGTTGCATCAGGAGTATCCCCACTAATTGCTTCATGGGCTTTATTAACTAATGATCGTAAAGTTCTTGTAGAGGCAGATTGAGATCTGGAGAAAATACACCTCGAACGAGGATATCTGACGCGCGGGAGAACATTGTTCAAACTCAATGACAGACGCCGAGTGAGACGTCCTGAAGGGCTGCGTTCTGTAAGGGTTTTCTGAAGTGAATTAAAGCTAGAGCACATTTCTGCAGACGCATTGCACTGATCCGCTTCATCCTTTTGGGATTGAGTGTCCCCGCAATCAATTAGCTTGCTCTGTTCCTGAAGAGATGGTCGAGGAAGGCTCCCGAGACTTACTATATCATAGACAGAAAAAAGACTACTTGCACAAGTTTTGTACAAATAAACGGAGAAAAATTTATTACGGATGACAAACTATGGCCTTTTGTAGTGATTCCATAAGCTATAGCAGTAGGTACCAACAAAGTAAAAATGATGCTTTGGCGCAAAAAAATTATTCGTCTCCATTATTGGGAATTTTAGTCCTGAATGGCACCATTTCGAAGCGCAGACAAATTGTCAGCTTTATATAAACACAGATGCATTAGCACATAAATTAAATTTTTAGAAACTGCAGAATTCCACTTGAAAGTAAAATCCACATTCGCTGGTCTTAATTGTCTCAATTAAGCCAAAAGCTCCGACTTACGATCGTTTTGATCACCATCGTGTACCGAATTATCACTTGTGAAGTAAGAGGGATCAGAGAGGATATTGGACGACTCCTCTTCACAACTTGATACGGTAGCCGCCCGCAAACCATTCGATTCAGCCACAAATGCTTGGTAAAGTCCATTTACAAAGCTAACATGTCCGTACTTACGCCTCCCCTCCGAAGTGGAATGCAACACCTCTCCAAGGTGATGGATGATGCTGTGCATAAAACGGCTCCGCATCGACTCCGCAGAATGGAGAGTCACTCCGGCTGCCTCCAACTGGACCCACGTTCTATGGCTCCGAACCTCACTAGCAGACAAAGCATCAGCTCGGGAAAGACATTCTACGTTTAAAGCGGATCCTCGCACTACTTCTAGATACAACATTTCCAACAAACATATACATTGGCTTTAACATCACAAAAAATGAACTACTGGAAACTAGAGCACTA